TTCTAAAAAAAAAACAAACTTAAATAAAGTTTTAGCATGACTGCTAAATTAAAAAAAAAAAATACCTCTAACTAGACTCAAACTATTGACTTTGTCTGTAGAAAGTTGAAGGCTTAACTAACTAAGTTATAGAACCTAATTCTATAAAAAAGTTTATTTTTTTCTAGATATTTTTATTTCTTTATTTTATTTAATTACAAGTTTAATTTTTTAAACTTCTAATTATTTTCAAATATTTTATTTTCAATTTTAAATTTTCTAATATTAAATTTATATTTTATAGTTTAATTAGTTTGTTTAAATTCTATTTTTTCTTAAACTTAATTTTAAAAAAAGAATATTAAACAAATTATTAAATTTAAATAGCCTTTATAAAGTAAATTAAATCTAATTTTTTTTTGTTATTAAGGCTACTTCCTTAGCTAATTAGATTTTATTAGTTTGTTATTATAGAGTTATTACATAAATAGTCTCTTAAAGTTTATAATTATATGATAAATATATGACAAGTCATATATACAACTTTAGTTATTATCTAATTTAAGTAGTCTACTATATAGATAATTGACTATCTGTTGGTTCTACACTATACTACTATACCTGCAACCTACCTATGAGTTACCTATTTAAATATTCTGATTATTAACTCTTTCTCCTATCCTAAACTAATGTTATTACTATATCTGACTACTTAAGCTAGTTAACTTATATGCAGATCTATTTACTACATAGCTTAAGTCTTCTCAAGATGCATATTATCTAACATATTGTAAGCATACAGTACTTCAGTTAACCTTAGAAATAATTTCTACTAGAGTAGTCATATATTCATTTCACAGATTTATCTAGATTAGACTCTTGTTGATATTCGTACAAACTCAGTTCTTGCTATAGCTTTCTACTAGATATAGTTTTTTGAGTTCTAGCTAGATATTTTATAAGATAGATCCTCCTAATCTAGTTAATTGCTAAGTTAAGTTAGTATTGTTACTAATACAAGGCATTAAGCTACATTATATAGCAAATTTACTTATACCTACTCAATCTATATCCTTCATACTCAAGTTTTTCACTGAATTAAGTATTAACTAGCTTAACTATTGAAATCTGTATTATTTTACCAAACTTAGAATTTCTATTATGCAAATCCTCTGCCTGTAGATTCTATCAAGATTTATTCATACAACAAAACTTGAATATTATATCATACTTCTAATATCCAATTGATATTAGTATAATATAATTTACAAGGTTATAACTCTTAAAAACAAATAGAATTACTTTAAGTTGAGTACAAAGGTTCAGGTAATTATTCAAATTTGTTGACAGTAAAATTTAAACTCTAGATCTCTTGCATAGTAGTCTAGTAATCTAACTACTATACTAAGATTACCAGACCTTAAATTAAATCTAATTTATTAGTTATTAAATTTATATTTCTAATAGAATTACTTTAGAGAAAGTGTTAAATATTGAAAAGTTATATATATATTATATAACTAATGCTTAAAATAAACTTAACTATTTTAATCATACTATTTCTGAAGCAGAATTTGAGCAAGTTATAAAAAATTATACAAATATAGTTGAGTTTAATAATAATATATTTAATAATGAAAGTAAAAAAACTGATGCTGATTATGTTTCTAATATAGAGAATTTAGATAATCTTTTACAATTTAATAAAGAAGATTTGGATATTAAAAAAATATTAGATTTAAATAATTTTTTAGATGAAAATATACAAGAACAAATCAACAGTAATGCAGAATTAGAACCTGAAGATGATGAATTAGATTATGGTATTAAAGAAATTATTAATATATCTATGAGTGAAAATATATAAATTTTTTTTAGATTTTAATTTAAACATTATTTTAGTGTTATTTATCCTTTAATCTGTAGGCTGTAGCAGGCAAATTTGCCTGCTTAATAGTCCAAATATGGTAATGATCTATTTTTTTAAAAAGTTAAAATTATTAAATAAAAATTTATATATAAATATTTGAAAATAAGGATTATATTTTAGTAG